CACTGTGATTTTTTTTCAACTCTTACTTTTGTATGCTTTTGTTAAATTGTTAATTATTATCATTTTATATTTAAGCATTGTATTCTTTTATGTTAATTAACTTAATTATATTCTGTTTAATACTTCCTGAAATATTCTTATGTTGCTTACATGTGATTGGGGAAGAAAAGCAGGGAGGTGGGTTATTACCGGAAGTGGGAGTGTTCGTTCGATAGTTACAAGGCAAACGTTGTAAAAATAAAAAAAAAAAAAGCTGCGTTCAAACGAAGTCGTCCTCCGCTTTTTCCCATTCTAAATGTAACCAGGTGAACCTTTATGTCACCAGGTGAACCTTACTTTGACATTTGTCGTGAAGGGTGCCTTGTTTCGCAAATTTAGAACTGTCACTTTACTGCTTTTATTGCCCACAGAGGGCCAAAAATCCAAAAAAATAAATAAAAATTAAATGTGTATGGATAGCGCAGAGGCCTGTGAACATTTTGAGTGGTTGAAAGTAAAAAAAAAAAAATTCAGGAATAACGCACTTTTGTAAAATGTGTATGTTGTGTTATATATGTTTTATGATCACATAAGGGTTGAAAAGTGACCAGTAGGAACGCAACTGTGTCAGACTGTCAGCATCAAAGATGCTTGAGTGGCCACTAAACACTGACAACAGATCCGGTAGAATACAGTGTCATCAATAAAAAACGATTGAACGTTATTTCTGTTGTGTCGTTATAGTTGGTAGTGTTAAAATACAGAATCATTCCTCTCTTCTTGGTTAGATTAGATTTCATCGTAGATGGTTTTGTGATCACAATATTAATTGTGATCAAGAGAGGGAATGTTAAGATATGATTCCTCTCTGTTAGCTGGATTTGAAAGAAACAATGTAGAATGCTGTTGAAGGTATTTCCTGCTTACTGTGATTACAATCACCTTTGGTAACCCCTCACCCCCACTACTTTTATGACCCCTCCAGAGGACATGTCAACATCAAAAGAGGAACTGTTATGTCAAGTATCTGTGTTGCAGCTATTGAGGGACTGCGCTTTGCTATGAGTACTATTGATCTCAGTCTCTTTCCTGAATATCTGTTTGCACACTTAAAACAACGTATGTCGTGTTAAAGTTTATCTTCTTCCTCCTTGGTTGATTAACGGCCCTCCAAGTGTCTCTTCTGTTGTTCCCCCGCACCTTGGGTCGGTCCCTGATCGCTGTTAAGCCCCCCTGGGAAGAC